CGGATGGAGAGCTGGTAAAACCTCCCCCACCTCCAGCTCACCGAGCGTGGCCCAGGTGGGTCTCCGTCTCTGCTTGGGCTTCCATTTTCGCATGTCTGAGAGCTGGATTAGGCTTTCTAACTCCAGTGGGCGGGCCAGGGGTGACACTGGGCTTTGGGTGACGTAGCACCTCTGCACAAGTGCTCCTGAGACATGGCACAGACGCCGAGTGGCTGGTGGGCCCCAGCGGGGCTGAAGCCTGGACACCAGGGTGCAGCCGAGCCCGGTGCACCTGAGGGACACTCTGGAGCCAGCTCTGCCCCGGGGCTCGGCCGCTGGCCTCTCACCCTGCCCACCTCACAGGGCTGGCTTCCATCAGCCTGTACTGAGGGAAGATCTAATAAAGGGGCTGAAGTGGGAGCAGTATTAATGGCTGTCCTGCGCCCTGCTGAGCAGGAAGTGCTCACAAACCCATCTGGCGCACTTCCCCCTGACTTCCTGTCAGGCGTCCCAGAGAGAGCCCACGTGTCCTTCCCTCTGGTTTCCATCTGTGCAAAGCCTCATCAGTCTGTTTACTGGGAATCACAAGTATGGGACAGGCGTGGCGGCGTGGGACAGGCGCAGTGGCATGGGACAGGCGCAGTGGCACCTGCATGCTGGCTTGGGTCGGCCTGCTTGTGCTGAATTCTGCTTCCTTCATCCCGAGGACCCGCAGCACAAGGTCCTGCACCGACTGGAGCAGCTCCTTTGAAAACTGGCTCTTGTCCCTTCCTCAGGTTCAGGTGCCTCTGGGGAGGAGCAGAAGGGGGCAGACTTGGGACCCGTCTCACAGCCTGAACGCAGACAGTTGGCAAGGAGATATCTTGGAACTGTGCGGTAAACGGGGCCTAAATCCCCTGCCTCGGGGAGATAAGTGCTCCGGTTCTGTAAGCTAAATGCTCTCTGCCGAAACCTGATTGAAAACTTTGTGGTGTGAAGACTGAGAATCACGAGAAGGCGCAGGCAGCCTTTAATCTCCTGTTGGATGACAACTCAAGATAGACCGATAGAGACACCCGACAGGCCTGTCAATAGTGCAGATGGCAGATAGGTGCAGGGAACCGACTCCAGGCAAGCGAGACGGGCAGCGCCCTCACCCACTGTCGTCCTGCTGGTCCTCTTGCCAAGCAGCGGGGGCCTTGCTCCGCTGCGCTGCTCCCCTCTCTGGGTCCAGGCGCCCAGGGCCTGGATCCGGCACAGTCAGGAGCACACTTGTCTTTGGTCCTGACAGTCTCCCCCAGGGCGATGCCTGTCCTTCCAAGGAAGGCTGGTGGAGAGTGGAGAAATCAGTGTACTTCCCCAAGAACTACGTTTCCACATTTTTAGGCAGAGAATTTTCTAGTTAGTCTGTATTTAAACATAGTTTTGGGTGTGTGTGTGTATTTGTGTGTGTGTCTGTGTGTTTAATACATCGGCAGGAACACACAAACCGACACAAAAGAGCCAGAGGAATCACTGGTTCTGGCCAAATACATAGAAAGCAGCACGTGCAAGGTGACTCCAGCAACGTAAGGGGGGCACCTGGCGTCTTTTCCCTCCATGTGTGTCTGTGCGTGTCTGTGCATGTGCGTGTGTGCGCGAGCCGTGTGTATCATCAGCTCCTGGTAGAGCATTTGCTGCCGTTCTTATCTGAAGGGATTTGAGAAGGTATCATTGAACGTGGTTGTCGTCATGGATTTTATTTATTAAATAATTCACTAGGCTTTTCTTCTGGAGAGATTTCCAGCTGTAGCAGAAAGCAAGCCAAGGGAGAGGGTCTAGGAAATGTCCCCGCTCCGGAATCTTTATTAGGTGAAACTGTGTCACACTGACACTCCTGCTGCAAACTATTCATTTAATTTCCATCTTTGTGGATATTTTGTTTTCCCCTAAATGTCAGCATTTGCTGAGGAAGAAAACATTTTTGGTTGTTTCTTTAGAAGCTTCTTACAGTCTGCCTCCACCTGCTGGAAGACGCAAACGAATGCTAACTGCAGGCAGACAGCGCACATCCAGAGTCACTGCCACATCACAGAAGAAGGAGAAATCCCGGGCACACGGGCTCGAGGCTGACGCATAAACATCGTGTGTGAATTGAATACTGTGCATCAGCCTACTGCAAAACTGTGTAATCAAGGTATTTTAAATATAGTTCGGAATGAAAACAGCTTCATTTTAGGGAAAACAGAGTTTATGTTGATGCAAGTAATCCAGAGTATTTATCAAAATATAGTCAATTAAAGGTGAAATGTAAATTGTGGCATTAAACTTCTGAATGTTAACAAATATTTCCATTTCCCCAGCTGCAGTATCTCATTTTTCTCAGCAGCTGGGAAGGAGTCTGTGGTTGGTGGGGACACAAAGCTTGCTTTGCCCAGCAGTACCTCCTGGTGGTGTCCATGTTCTGTGGCACACATATAAATTCTAAGAATTCATGCAATTTACCTGATAGATCAGGAGCCATTACAGTCTGCTGTATAAATTCATATTTTGGCACTCTTTAAAAAGTGGATTATTATTGACCCAATAGACCATAACAGTTCCAAAGAAGCCATTACTGTCTGTTGTGCAAATCCTTCATGGGATGTGTTTTATTGACGCTTTGGAGCCATCAGGGTCTGTCTTGTCAATCTAGCTGCCATGTACATCCCCCAAATGCATGTGCTACAAATGCCGGGGAAATTGGAGCTGTAGGCAAATTACCCTGTTGTTGTCCAATAAGCCACAGTGTAAAATGGGGTCTTTCCACTGCAGCTTCTTGCTCCGCCTCGAGAATTCCACTTCTCTGCATTTATAAAAAGGATGAAATTTTGAAACAAGAATAAGGAAATGGTCATTTGATTTCAAGGTGAAAAACAAGGGTGCAGAGACAGCTGAGGATGGCGTGTGCTGCCGTGAAGAGGCGTCTCAGAGATCAGGGACCCACCAGCTGCCAGGAGGCTGCCCGCCCAGCGTGGTTTTTGGAAACCAGATAAGATTTTTATTTAACTAGCTACACACTTACTTTGTGTTCTTCCCCTCCCTGCCTTCTCCTTACATTAAAAAGAAAAAAGGACATTAGGATATTTTTCAGAAAAAAAGGAAAAGAAAAGAAAAGCTGAGTTATTTGTACCTTCAGCAAAATAAAATAAGACCCTGGGAACCTCCAGCTGTAACGTGACCCTCTGCTCTGCTGGGTGGCAAGAGGCTCAGGGAAGCAGCCTTGCAGCCCAGACCAGGGTGCGAGAGGTGGTGGTCAGGCTATTCGGGTTTCATCTTCCTGAATATTGCCCCAATTCTGCAAATCTGGATTCCCCACCTTCAGAGCCAGTGCACGATCTGGCAATCCAGTTATGCATGGAAAATGCAGGCTGGTGTCACCGGAGGAGACTGACGCTTGATGTCCCTGGGCACATGGCCTGACTTTCAGGCTAGAGAAAATGGTGGCTAAGTTTTTGACGCTGGGAGGAAATGCTTATAGAGCAGAATCTATCTGCTTAAAGAGACTGAGAGTCCTTCAAGTTACAGAATAAAAAAATAGGAAGGGTGAAATTCAGTGCTACACAAAACTTCCCTTTTTCCCCTAAAATGTAGCAAAGACGTATTTTATACTGTTCTTTTGATCCATAATTGTTTTAACTGATAGCTTAAAGTCCGGAAGTTCAGGCAGTGTGACACACGGAAGCAGACTGGGAGCAAACGCCATGAGTTGATTTTTTACTTCTATAGCAAGTCAGAAAATTGGAGAGTTAAGAACTGCAAATTCATGAGGAATCCCAAGTGCGAGTCTTTGGGGAAAACATCATTTATTTCCATTTGCAGGTACCTGCTCACCCTGCAAAGCACCACCTCCTGGTGCTGCGGGGCAGAGAGAAGACGCCTCGGCACAGGACCCTGGCAAATGAGCCTCAGAGCGTCCTGCCGTCCTCTGGGGAGGTCACTGGGACTCATCCCAGGGAGCTCCTGTTCTACCCTGGGGTCTCCCATGGCTCCCAGGAGAAGAGCCTTGTCACAAAGGCAGCCACTGCAGAGCAACTGAAAGTGGGTGACCCTGCGTCTCCTGGAGCCCCACCCTCACTGGCACCCCTGGGGCCATCCACGGCCTGCAGCTCTGCCAGGAGAGGTTACTAGGTGGCGGCTGCTGGCAGGAACGGCCGAGGCGGATCTGCTGGGAACCCTCCAGCCTCCCGCTGGCAAGCGAGGGCTGCCTGCCTTGCTGCAGTGCCATCCATGTTCAGGGGGACGCACGCGGGGTTCAGCCCACCTCCGGGGCCCTGTGCCTCCTGCCCTGGTTTGAATAGGAAGCTCCATTTCCAAACGAAGCATTTTCTGTATTTTGGTAAGATATATATTTGCACGCACGCACCCTCACACTCACACACCCTGCCATGCAGACCTCACATGCTGACGATCCTGCTGCTTGCCAAGGGCATCCTGGACACACATGCTCTGGAAGCAGAAATGCCCTCTTTTGAAAGTCTGGCAGGCCAGCAGGCGGAGGTCACCAAGGAGCCAGCACTGTGCAGTCCCGATGCCGCTGCCCGAGGAGCCGCTGCCCGAGGAGCCGCTGCCCGAGGAGCCGCTGCTGCGGCAGAGACTGCTGCTCTCGCTGGACACTAGACACACACCCCCCACCCTGAGGGGGATCCTCCCCACCTACTTCCCTTCCAGAAAACAGACCCCGGCTCCTCCATCACATCAAAACAGAAGACCCCTGGACACTCAGTAGTGGAAATGAAATGGCACTTGGTGGTTTTTTAGGTCCCCTTCATTTCCTTGTTTCTCACCTGAAGCCTGGAATAGCCCACATACAGGGACATGGGCACTCGTCACCCCCAGCACTGTGTGTCTGGCACAGTGAGGGTTTCAGGTGGACCCCCGGCCACCCAGTAGGAGTCCCAGCCCAGGGAGAAGAAGGGGTCCTGGCAGCAGTGCCCATCTCTGGAGGCGTCCTGCCCGGGCTGCTGTGCAGCACACGCCCACCTTCTGCACGTGATGGATGTGCTTGCGCCCTCAATCCATCACGTTGCTAACACTGTGCTAATTACAGGGGCAACAGTGCATATAATAAAAAGTTTATGCCATCCGTGCTCGGCACCCCCGTTGCTGATCTCCATCGTCATGTCTGACCAAAGACATCCATCCCAAACATGGCCTTCATTTTAATGCCACGCATAAGAACGAATCCAGAAATCAAATAGGCGGCTTCCCTTCTGACAGCTCCAAATCGGATTCGACTTTTTGTTCCATTTTCATCAGAGACGGTGCTTCAGCACAAAGGGCAGGTTGGGAATTTGGGCAGAGAACAGGATTGTGCAGCACCCCAGTTTTCCCCAGGAAAGGAAAACGGCCAGTAAAGAAGGTTCCCGTGGAGGAGCCTCGTGCCCTCGTGGGTCCTCATGGGGCTGGTGAGCCGCCCGGAGCTCCCTGGCATATTGCCTGCACTCCTGCCAGGAAGCACCCACACGGGCCCTGTCCAGCCACAGCAGGCAGGGAAGAGGGAAACTGGTCAGGGACAGAGCGGCGTCTGGAGCCTGCTGGAAGCCCTGTGTGTGTACACCCGGCAGCTGGCCCGGCCTCCCTTCGGGCCTGTGCTGGGGTTCATGTGCGGAGGCTGCTTTGACCAGCGGAGGGCTAGGGTGGGGTAAGGAGGAGGGGACACACGGAGCCCTTGGCATGGAATCTTGGTTTCCTCTTGACAGCGCTTCGGAGGTGGTTGGAAGCTGTTCCAGGCCTGCAAGGGGTGAGCCTTTGCAGAGAGCAGAGTCGGACGGGACAATAACAAAGAAGGGCCTCCCACTGCCTCCCTTAGGGCCACGTGGGAGGCTCCCGCCCATCCATGGGCCATCCAACGGCTGGCTCTCCAAAGGCACGGTAGCATTTGGCCTCTGATCCCTGGATCCAGAGGAGGCAGGGGCTCTGAGAGGATGGGATCCCACTTAGCTCAGAGACGTCAGAGACATCCGTGCACAGCACAGCGGTTCTGCCTCCGGCATACTGAGCGGCCAGTCACGGCAGGCTGGGGCATGGCAGGGAGAGAGGAAGGAGCTGCTGCTCAGGGATCAACAGCAGCAGGAAATGGGGCACCCCCACTGCACCCCGCCAGGCACAGAGGCCACCTGGCAAAGCTGAGCCCAGGCAGCACAGCAGTGGTGGGGTCCCCAGTGGCTGGGGCGAGCTTCCTGCTGGCGTCCCCTTATCTGGAGAGTGGGAGAGGGGACGCAGCCTGTCGTACTGCTTGCAGACAGGGAGCAATAAGGGACTCAATGCATGGCCCCTAATTATCTGTACAGCCTTAATGGCCTGGAGTTCATTACAGTCAGTATGAAAAATAAAGGACTGAGTCACAGCACCCATATTTTAGGCTTATTTATTGCCTTCTGGGAGTAAAGGGGGAAAGACTCTTCAACAACTTGTCCTGACCAAGACAAAGGATTTGGTCCACTCGGAGGTTGACTGAATTCTCAGGGACCCAGAGGACACAGAAATGTTCCACCGCCCGGTGAGGGTGTCAGGGTGGGTGGGCTCTGGGGGCCAGCAGGAAGCTGGGGCCCTGTCTGGGGAGCTCCCCCAACGCAGCCGGGAAGCACCTGTGGCCCAGGGTTGGTACCTGGAGGACAGGCAGAGCCTGGGAGGCTGGCAGCAAGCTGAGTGCCGGGCTCTGGCTTCCCTGCGCCCTGCCGCCAGCTGTGCCGGGGTCCCCCACTGCCCCTGCCCTGCAGCTCCATCCTAGCCACAGCACTCCACGCGTCCAGGGGAGAGTCCACAGACGGACCATGAAAGAGCCGAGGGAAGGGGACAGGAGCACGGCTGGACTGCTGCCCACCTCGGCCAGGCCCACGGGGAGGCCCTGACTCTTCTCCCAGAAGGTTCCAAGCTGTTTAATCACCCACTTGTCCCCCTCCTCACACGAGGATTCCCAAGGCACAGGTCTGCCTGCCCCGCGCGTGGGCACCAGCGCCCAGCACACAGCGCCCAGCCCGCAGGCCACGCAGCGTCACAAGCGGCTCCTTCCTGTGCGACCCCTTCACCTGAGCCTCTGACCTACTTTAACACGCCGCCCCCACACACACGTTACCAGAGGATCCTTCTTCTCCATCTGTCTTCCCCCCTCTGCAGAGGAACTTTAAATGCGGTGGTGCTCATCCTGGCCGACCCGCCTGCTGGGCGTCATTGTCTAGAGAGGGTGGGAGAATCGGGCTTTTGTGAGAGGGAAAGAGAAGACAGTCCTATTGTGATCTTGAACCTGAAGCTCTCTCCTCTGCCTTCTCTCCTTTCATGGTTCCCCGGATCTAACAGCTGTGCCTCGGCACAACAGGGCAGAAACGAGTGTACCCCTACCCCAGTCAGCTTCACGGCGCTAATTACTTCCTTGCCATCCGTGCCCGACTGACAGGGACAGCCCTGATTTATGGTTGTTTGCCAGTGTCCGATGCCCCCTGCCAGCTCCCCTGGGAGAGCGCCCTTCGGGGCACTCGGGACGGAACACCCCAGAGGGTCTGCCTGTCCAGCCAGCCAGGCAGGGGCCCAGGGCTCCACCCAGGCGGGCAGGCGGCCCGCCACAGACCCAGCCCAGCCCCCACCCCCTGCACCGACCCGCCACCCTTTAAGGTCAAAGGCAGTGCCAAGCCTCACTTCAGCTCAGACATAAAAGCCCTGAGCCTGTGGAGGGAGGCCAGTGTCCATGGTGCCAGATTATGCGTGTCTCGTTTTTGTGACGTGATCTACTGCTGCTCATTAGGGACAGAGCTGAGCCCATCCACTCATTTTTCTTAGGCCGCGAGCTGGTCTGCAGGGAGCCCAGTGCAGAAAGGCCCATCCGTCCTGTGCTCACTCAGCAACTTTGCTCCTTGGAGTTTTTTTTCTTTTTTCTTTTTTTTTTTTTAAATGAGAAATTCCATGCAAAATAGAGGAACCAGGCCTTTGACACAGACGTGACTGGATCGGATCTTGCACAAATCAAGACTCAAAACATGGCGGTAGCAATAACAACTTTGAAGCATTTGAGTTTCTGCCTGGCAGCAGCTGTGTCTCCTATTTCACGGTGTAGCTACTGGGTCTGAATGCCCCTCTTGACATGCAGCAAGGGTGTGCACGCCCTGGTCTCTGGAGATGCACTTGACATTCCTCCAGAGCCTGCGAGGACCACCCTGTGCCAGGGCCTCTCGGCACGGGCTGTTGGCTGCAGCTCCACCAGTCCCAGCACAACGCCTTTCTGGTTGAGCAACCAGATCAGGCTAAGGAGGGTCAAGCAACCCAATGACCACTCCTCCTGATAATGGGGCAGCCAGGAAGGCAGAGCCAGGCCGGGATCGCACACCAGTCACCCGAGCTGCTGCACCCCATGTGGCAACGTCAGGTGGCAGGGGAGCAAGAACACCGAGCAGAGGACGTCCGGGCAGAGCTGGTGAGCGCACCAACTGTGGTCCTCGGACCTCCTTCGCCCCAGCCCAGGCCCAGGAGGTGGGCCTCCCCGACCCCAGCCACTCTGCCTGTCCAGCCAGCCAGGCAGGAGCCCAGGGCTCCTCCCAGGAGGGCAGGGAGCCCCACCCTCTGCCCCGAGCCCCAGCACTGAGCAGACCGGTGTCCTGTCCCAGGGCTTAGAAAGCAAAGTCCAAAGGCTGCACCATGCAGGCCCAGAACCAACAGGGGTTCACAGTAAACACTGGATTGGGTCAAACCAGGCTCATCTTCCAGAAACTTCTCCTCACAGATTCCGCCAACGTACTCCAAAAGAATCCAAGTGAAAACCACCATCAGCCCTCACACACTACGTGTATAAGAGATAGCCATTTCACCCAAATCCATTCTTGTGCCAAGAATGGGGGGGCAAAAAAGCCCTCTTGAAAACCTGCTGTCAGTAGGACCTCGGAGCCGCGGCAGTGCAGGGTGCAGAGGAGGCCCTCGTGGGCATGCAGCTGTCCCTGCATCCAGGACACCAGCAGCCACCGTGCCTGGGAACCGACTCATCCAGTGACCGAGCTGTTTGCTGTTCCTCATCTGAAGGGTCTGCGCTCCGGGTGGTCGGGACTCTGGGCTGTGCATGGGCGGGTTACTCCACGCGTTTGGAAAAGCAGTTACAGAAACCTTTAAGGATTAAATCCCCTTCCATGTTGTGCTTTTGCTTGTTGTTTGGTTTCTTTTGCAGACAGAATTTGGAGATTGGGGACTTGTTTGTTGGTTTGTTAAGAGGGTCACTGGGCAGAAAAGAGCTCTTCACAGAGACTACTTAAAGAGAAATCACGAGAGTGGCATCGGATGGCAGAGGGGCGGAGCCCGTGGAGGCTGCCCTCTCGGCTTTCATCCCGATCTTCTCCAGTTCCCGCAGGAGCGAAGGCAGGCCTGTGGTTACCAGGCAGGCCAGTGCTGCGGCTGGACTCTGACACCTACTCAGCCAGAGAGGAAGGTGGCAGTGCATCTGTCCTGGGGCACGTTATGCCTTCTCTTAGCCAAAAGAAAAAACTATTTACCAAACAGAGTGTCGGGAACATTGCCTGAAGAACACTTGTCCATGAGACTTTGTTCTTCCTCGGAAGCACTGCCGCTGGGCACTGAGAGGAGGAGGACCCTGGATTGGGGCGGCAGAGAGGAGAAAAGATGTTTTCAAGGGGAAAAATATATTTTCTGTGCTCCCTGGGGCTGCATGTGGCACAACATCCCATGAAATCCCGCAGAACAGGCTGGGCGGGGCCGCTGGTGGACAGTGCCCACTTGGCCCTCAGCACTGGTCCGTGCAGTGGGGCTCACCCTGATGAGCAGGAGGACCTCCTGGTGGCCTCCCCCGCCTGTGCAGCCCACCCACCACACCCAAGCCCAGCCTCAGCCAGGAACTGATCCTTCCTGAGGCTCAGAGAGGAAGGAGGCTGTGAAATGTCCAGGTCAATGCGGTCTCATCTGGGTCTGATGAAACAGGCAGGAAAGGGGGGGGGGGAGAAAGGGGGCAGGAGCGAGGGAGCGCCTCCTGGGAAGTGCAGGGCCGGCGTCCCTACTGTTCTGTTTGTTCACTTTGGGTTTGGTGGTGGTGGTGGTTTTATCTATAAAAAAACAAATGAAACATGTCCTTAGAGAAGATATCTTTGTTGTGCTGTGTATGTTCAAACTAGAAAATTTAAGAAAGGACCCTGAATTAGGGCACTAGAGAAAGGGATGCCCAGAAAGGGTTTAGGCCAGCTTGGGTAGTGCTGCAGCTCAAGCACAGAGGGCTCATGAGACGGTGCAAGTGACTTCAACTGCAAAAGTCGTCTTGGCCCAGGGTGGTTTGGGAGCGTCCAGAATTCACCAAAGTCTGAATCCTTCCAACGTTGTTAGGCAAGCTTGGGTCCCATGAACACGGCTCCCTCATGAAGGGTTTCCACAGGGCCCTTGCTCGTCACCCTCCTTCATAGCGCCCAGGGGTCTCCTGAAACTTCCCAGCTTCCTGGATATGGCCCAGCACCCAGGGAAAGGCCAGAATTGGGCCTGGGTTCCTCACCAGGCAGCTCTCACGAAACCCCTATCACAGCGGGTTAACCACTGGGAGCCCTGCAAGTCCAGGGCACAGAAGTCCAGTAAGTATCAAAGTTCTGTTCCACAGAGCAGAACAAGAGGGCTTCCAGACAGAGGGGCCACGAACCATTAGTGTCCGACTAGCATTCTGCATGCTAAACCCTCTCACAGAAATGTGGTCCACACAATTCAACCGAGAGTCCACGGATGCAGAGGGGAAGTGCCACCCTGAATGTGGAATTGGGAGAAGGAGGCATCCTGAAGGGACATGCCCCGCAGAGGGCTTCACGTTGGGAGGGAGTCGGATGAGCAGAAATTCCAGATCCCACAGGGACCCATGCCTCTGGGCTTTCAGTAAGCATCGTTGTCGACACGGCCAAGTCCAGAAGCACCAGGTAGGCCTGATCCAGGAAACCCAGGCCCTGAAGAAATGAATTCAGAAGCCACCTGACTCAGGGGGCAGCACCTACCCCCAGGAGAAGGGAGAAAGTGGGTAAATCTGCCTGAGTCTCCATTACCTTCTCGACACCATGGGGACTTCAGTGTGTCCCCCACGTCCCTCAAAGATGTCCCCCACACGGGGCAACAAGTGTTTTTCATTTTAGTTAGAATTGACCTTGGATACGATAAAAAGCCAGACTGTGCCACTTTGCTGAGTGAAGGTGGCTGGTGTTTTCCGTGGATGTGCTACAGAGGAGACGACAGATTGCCCAGGGCCTCCCAGCCAGCGGTCAAGGCCAGGACTTGTCTGTTTCCAAATTCCACATTCTCTTTATACTTCTGTTATTGTTTGTTTAATGGACACATGATACCCGTCTGCACTTAAGGGTACAGCACGATAGTTAAGCACAAGCACACAATGTGTGGTGACCA